TTAATCCGTAATGCATAATAATATAAAATTAAATATATACATAATTTCTTTTCACATTCATTGTTGCACATCGAGTTGTAGCATTTGCGTGTAACTGAATGTTAAAATACTGCTGAGGAATCAAAGCAACATGCTAATTTTCTCTAATTTTACGACTCTGAGTGTCGGTATTTGTGGCGGGAATGTTTTCTTTTGTTCTAATTTAGTATTAGCTATAATTATATCAAATATTCTATCTTTCATGTTTTAAATGTTATTTTCCAAAAGTATTTTGTTTGTTTGTTTTTTTGCGAATTTTCGAAATAATTACTTTACTTTTTACACAGTTTTTTCAGGGCTTTCCACTCCGACAGCGAGCAAACGTGTGCTGGGAAGGTCTATATGAAAGTACTTGGTTCTGTGTGCAAGAACGCACTGGGGGGAAGGGGGTCTCGGTCGGTCTCTCTCTCTCTCTCTCTTTCTCTTTCTCTTTCTCTTTCTCTTTCTCTTTCTCTTTCTCTTTCTCTTTCTCTTTCTCTTTCTCTTTCTCTTTCTCTTTCTCTTTCTCTTTCTCTTTCTCTTTCTCTTTCTCTTTCTCTCTCTCTTTCTCTTTCTCTTTCTCTTTCTCTTTCTCTTTCTCTCTCTCTCTCTCTCTCTCTCATTTACTCATACTTTTCAATTCTTCAGTGGTTAATATGAAGGCAAAATACCCATATGATGGGTATGGTAATTAGCTATCACAGGAATCAAGCTACGTGAATACAGAGTATTTCTTTAAGCTCTGCCAAAATGCAATGGACTGCACTGCTCTCCAGGGGCTCATATGCTTTTATAAGTGATTTCTATTAGATATCACCCTGCTATTGTATCTGCAGTTTTCAAGTAAATGGCAAGTAAAAATAAAAGCCAGCTGTATGGTAAATACACCATTAAGGAATATATTGTTTACAATAATGACATGTTGACATCCTTCTCATATCAGATAAATAATAGTACTAAATCACATTTTGTCAACAATATAATACATGCCTAGTTTTAAATAAGGATTTTCATATGTCAGTCATATAAAACAATCCTTCATTGTAGCTTGTTCTTCAAAAGTAAATATTGATTTACATAACAACATTGGCATATACTGTACTTTCAACATAAACCAGAGGACAATGCACTTTCAGCTTATACTTATATATCACACAACAGCCTTTCACATCCGAATGAACGTCACAACTATTACGAAATTATGATGTGACACCTACAAATTGTTTAAACAAAATTAATCACTGAAAATACATTAACTCGCCTACAGTACGTATTGCAAACTACAATGAGTACAGCACTTAAAGTTTATAACAAAATCCTATGAAACTGGGCCCTTTATTTAAATGAGAGATCAGCATACACCTTTCTACAGTCCCTAGATCCACTTTGATCTCCAGCAAAACTGAAAACCGGTTTAAGTCTCTTGAGTCACATAATCCTTATATAAACTCAACTGACTCTACTCCCTACAACATCCACTTTGCATAACAAATTCCATTCAGATTTACTGAATATCAGAACAGAATAGTTTAACATCACATTAAGAGGGAATGGAACAAATCTCACTCATGCACTGCCCACATGTCTGCATTATAGTTAACATAACCAAAATTCTTCCTAAAGTTAACCAAGACTGATTATTCAGGATTATCTGCAATGTCAATATGTATGGTCATTAGCGGCAGGTTAACAGAGCATAAAATTTTTGTTTTTTTTTTTTTTTTTTTTTTTTTTTTTTTTTTTTTTTTTTTTTTTTTTTTTTTTTTTTTTTTTTTTTTTTTTTTTTTTTTTTTTTTTTTTTTTTTTTTTTTTTTTTTTTTTTTTTTTTTTTTTTTTTTTTTTTTTTTTTTTTTTTTTTTTTTTTTTTTTTTTTTTTTTTTTTTTTTTTTTTTTTTTTTTTTTTTTTTTTTTTTTTTTTTTTTTTTTTTTTTTTTTTTTTTTTTTTTTTTTTTTTTTTTTTTTTTTTTTTTTTTTTTTTTTTTTTTTTTTTTTTTTTTTTTTTTTTTTTTTTTTTTTTTTTTTTTTTTTTTTTTTTTTTTTTTTTTTTTTTTTTTTTTTTTTTTTTTTTTTTTTTTTTTTTTTTTTTTTTTTTTTTTTTTTTTTTTTTTTTTTTTTTTTTTTTTTTTTTTTTTTTTTTTTTTTTTTTTTTTTTTTTTTTTTTTTTTTTTTTTTTTTTTTTTTTTTTTTTTTTTTTTTTTTTTTTTTTTTTTTTTTTTTTTTTTTTTTTTTTTTTTTTTTTTTTTTTTTTTTTTTTTTTTTTTTTTTTTTTTTTTTTTTTTTTTTTTTTTTTTTTTTTTTTTTTTTTTTTTTTTTTTTTTTTTTTTTTTTTTTTTTTTTTTTTTTTTTTTTTTTTTTTTTTTTTTTTTTTTTTTTTTTTTTTTTTTTTTTTTTTTTTTTTTTTTTTTTTTTTTTTTTTTTTTTTTTTTTTTTTTTTTTTTTTTTTTTTTTTTTTTTTTTTTTTTTTTTTTTTTTTTTTTTTTTTTTTTTTTTTTTTTTTTTTTTTTTTTTTTTTTTTTTTTTTTTTTTTTTTTTTTTTTTTTTTTTTTTTTTTTTTTTTTTTTTTTTTTTTTTTTTTTTTTTTTTTTTTTTTTTTTTTTTTTTTTTTTTTTTTTTTTTTTTTTTTTTTTTTTTTTTTTTTTTTTTTTTTTTTTTTTTTTTTTTTTTTTTTTTTTTTTTTTTTTTTTTTTTTTTTTTTTTTTTTTTTTTTTTTTTTTTTTTTTTTTTTTTTTTTTTTTTTTTTTTTTTTTTTTTTTTTTTTTTTTTTTTTTTTTTTTTTTTTTTTTTTTTTTTTTTTTTTTTTTTTTTTTTTTTTTTTTTTTTTTTTTTTTTTTTTTTTTTTTTTTTTTTTTTTTTTTTTTTTTTTTTTTTTTTTTTTTTTTTTTTTTTTTTTTTTTTTTTTTTTTTTTTTTTTTTTTTTTTTTTTTTTTTTTTTTTTTTTTTTTTTTTTTTTTTTTTTTTTTTTTTTTTTTTTTTTTTTTTTTTTTTTTTTTTTTTTTTTTTTTTTTTTTTTTTTTTTTTTTTTTTTTTTTTTTTTTTTTTTTTTTTTTTTTTTTTTTTTTTTTTTTTTTTTTTTTTTTTTTTTTTTTTTTTTTTTTTTTTTTTTTTTTTTTTTTTTTTTTTTTTTTTTTTTTTTTTTTTTTTTTTTTTTTTTTTTTTTTTTTTTTTTTTTTTTTTTTTTTTTTTTTTTTTTTTTTTTTTTTTTTTTTTTTTTTTTTTTTTTTTTTTTTTTTTTTTTTTTTTTTTTTTTTTTTTTTTTTTTTTTTTTTTTTTTTTTTTTTTTTTTTTTTTTTTTTTTTTTTTTTTTTTTTTTTTTTTTTTTTTTTTTTTTTTTTTTTTTTTTTTTTTTTTTTTTTTTTTTTTTTTTTTTTTTTTTTTTTTTTTTTTTTTTTTTTTTTTTTTTTTTTTTTTTTTTTTTTTTTTTTTTTTTTTTTTTTTTTTTTTTTTTTTTTTTTTTTTTTTTTTTTTTTTTTTTTTTTTTTTTTTTTTTTTTTTTTTTTTTTTTTTTTTTTTTTTTTTTTTTTTTTTTTTTTTTTTTTTTTTTTTTTTTTTTTTTTTTTTTTTTTTTTTTTTTTTTTTTTTTTTTTTTTTTTTTTTTTTTTTTTTTTTTTTTTTTTTTTTTTTTTTTTTTTTTTTTTTTTTTTTTTTTTTTTTTTTTTTTTTTTTTTTTTTTTTTTTTTTTTTTTTTTTTTTTTTTTTTTTTTTTTTTTTTTTTTTTTTTTTTTTTTTTTTTTTTTTTTTTTTTTTTTTTTTTTTTTTTTTTTTTTTTTTTTTTTTTTTTTTTTTTTTTTTTTTTTTTTTTTTTTTTTTTTTTTTTTTTTTTTTTTTTTTTTTTTTTTTTTTTTTTTTTTTTTTTTTTTTTTTTTTTTTTTTTTTTTTTTTTTTTTTTTTTTTTTTTTTTTTTTTTTTTTTTTTTTTTTTTTTTTTTTTTTTTTTTTTTTTTTTTTTTTTTTTTTTTTTTTTTTTTTTTTTTTTTTTTTCTTATCTGCTGCTAATGTTAGACAGCATCTTGAAGTCTCCTAATGTTTTTGTAAACTGACATAGCTGTATTTAATGCTTTATATGTCTGAATCACATACACATGGGTTATCAAAAAGTATAATCTTTTGAATATCATTACCATTAAGAAACTGCTTTGTCACTGATTAAACTATAATTGCTAATACTTAATCATTACATATCAGTCATACATCAACAATTATCCTTTTTGGATTGCAAAATTTACATTTTCACCTGCTTGTGATATAAACTATTGAGAAAAAAGGAAAAACACTGCTATCCACCATTTTCATGTACTTTTAAATTCCATGTGTCTGAAATAAGAAAAATACAGATATTGACTTCCAGATCAAATATTTTTGATCTTAAACATCCATAGTACATAATCAGCATTATCCCTCAGAACAGCAATAGTCAATTACTCACCAATAGAATTTGAACAAATTCTTTCATTCAGGGATAGTACCAGGTAATTTGTGTTTCAGTTATTAGTTGCAGCTACTTCAGAATCATGCCAAAATATCAAGGTTTTAAGAATCAAAATTTCTGCAGGGAACTGCTTCTAAAGACCATGTGTTCTGCATGTAAATTTTGTATAAACATGCTGTCAAAAAGAATGGAAACAGTCTGCCTTAAATGACCAACTTCATATTAAAAATCAAATCTTCATTTTTATGTAGCAGATTAACATGTTCTAGACCGTATAGGCCTGTTTCAAGCCATTAACATAGGAGGCGATCAGATATAGGATTGTCAAGTAAGTGTACTCTGATTTGAATGCTGACAATGAAAAGAAATATTTTACTCCAATAACTTTATCTTTTTTTTTTTCTAAAGACTGCTTTGATTTGGTGATAAACAATGTGATTCAATGATATTTAGTATCACAGTTTTTTTCCTTTATCTTCACATTCCCAATTATCACAAACACAGATATTGCATAATGAAAACCAGTTAAATGAGGATCAAAAATAATCAAAGAAATCTGAAAGACATTACACTTTCTTTAAGGTCACATTTGCATTAGTGTGATAATAAAGTCTTTATTATTACAATGATATATGTCAAACTATGACATACTTTACATGTCATTAAAACAAAGAGCCATATGAATATGTTTTGTGGCAAAACCAAATAAATATATTAACATGATTATCACTGATATACATGCTTTATATCCGGTATAAAATAGAGCAATCTAAATTTACATCAATTTTACAATGGCTATGAGTTGAAATATACAAGCACTTCAAACACTTAAGTTAAACCTGACTCTCACAGTATTAGATGGTGATCACATCAGCACATTTACAAACAATCCACTTTTTACACACAAGCCACTTTTTACCCAAACATTCACAGTTCTTATGGATCTTATATGCTACGCTATATAACCCACGGCATACAGATAAACCCTCATATATGCTTTGGGTATCATAATTACACTTGTTTTGTTCTTGAAATACCTCTATAGCAGACACTGAATAAAATACTCATTTACAATCATACTTTTTTTTTTTACATTTTCTGAGCAATTAGTTCACTGAATAAAGTGCTCGTTTACAGTGAAATTATTTTCTTTGGATTACTGGTTCACCGTATATGATGATTAAGAACAGTTTTGTAAGTACCATGGCTGGCCATCCATACATATTGCAAAATAATGCTTTCAAGAGAAAGAAAAAGAAAAAACAAAATCAGATTTACACAAGTTCTGAGCAATCATAATTTAACCAAAAACATTTTGAAATTCTGTTGATTTCAAAAAAATTATACATCTAGCCCAAAAATCACAAAAGTAACAATGAACAGAAACATCACTGCCGAGTTTCCAGACACCTGTTCCATAGCCAATTCCTGAATGGGCCTTACAAGTTTCATGGGTGCATCTGCTCTTTTTTAGCAAAGAAAGTTACATTATTATTCATACCTAAGTTGGACTGCCATGGTTTATATTATGCTCTACATCATTGCATCAGGTCAGCCAAGCATCAAACATCTGATGGACTAGATAGATGACCTGTTGGAGTCAACCTAACAGACTTCCAGTGTAAATTATAACTTTCCCTAAAAAAAGAAAAAAAAAGTCAACATAAACAAGAGAATCAATACAAAATAAACTTACATTATTCTAAAAGCAATCTACAAAAAAAAATTGAGTTGTCCACTAAATAATACAGACATAAGACTAAAAATAAAAAAATGGCTCCCTATATATGGAAAAGCTTCTGCATACGCAAATATATGCTTTGTACCAGAAAACATCTGCTACATACATATCTTGTACATCTCAGTAAGATTAAATACATATATATGAAAATACTGAGGTAAAATGCCTTAATCTTTCTTCTTTTCCTCTAAAGATTTGGGCGGTTCGCCTTCAGCAGCCGTTGATCCGTTGCCAAGCGCTTCCATTTTCTTATCCTTGGCCTCTTTCTCCATGTCTTGCGAGAAGCCAAACTCGTTGACTCTTGAAGGATCAACGCGGTAGATATAACGCTGAGGATAAAAGTTTTCTTTTAATAAAATCAAGAAACTTTTGAAGGCTTCTTACAACATCAGTGATGAAAAATGGATCTATCTACATAATATGCTAATGGTCAGGAGGTAACTTGTTCACCCTAGGTCTGACATCCCTTGTCACACAGAGTTTTCAGTTTTCTCAATCATAGGCAAATGGAAATTCAAAACAGTGAAAACAAGTATATAGAAGTCTCTAGCATCAATTCTGAACTTTGCCAAATGAAGCACATCTACCTAGCAACCTCCCATTTTCTTCCCAAAAATATGATTCTTGATAAATGTCATCTTAACCTGCCAACCGATCAACAAGAGCTTGCATAAATAAATACACACATACACACATATAAACCTATGTATTTACATAAATATAGATAACACACACACACACACACACACATACATATACACATACACATATATATACATATACATATATACAAATGTATAGATACATATACTTACATATGGATATACACACATATACATATACATATACATTTGCACACATATATACATATATATAGATTTGATTTTTTTTCTTTTTCTTTTCTTCATTCATACATTTTTATCACTATCTAAATATGTACATGCATATTCATCTATATATTATATGATGAGATGATAATAAGGAAATGACAACAATGCCTACTGCTGATGACCGACAATGATACAAGTAACAAAAGCAACAATTAAAGAAATAACTAAAATTCACAAGAAATGGTCCCTATTTCTCCTCGGCCATGGAAACCCAAAAAACATACCTGATACAGGAAGATGAAGAAGATCACATCATCTCTAAGGCAGCCCAGCCTATACATGGTGGGCATCTTAATAACAAATGCAAAAATGTCATCGATGAAGGTGTTGAGAGCTTTGTAGGTGAGCATCCTCCATGGCAGGTGAGCTACAGACTTCAGCTTGTAGTTGATGAACAGTTGTGGAGTCATCATGATGAAACCTTTTTAAATAAGGGAGAACCAGATTAAGTGCATGTGTAAAAGACAACTAATTAAATTCAGTAAACCTTGATAAAATTTAAGGTTATAAAATCAATTCAAAACTTATATTATTCACAGTAATAAAACTATACAGTATAAAGGTTGGGGGGAGGAGGGATTGAAGGTCAACCAGAACTCCATATAGTCTAGCTTGGACTGATTTAGTCTGCCTGGCAATTGTCAATAAGTGTGGCAGTCTTGTTTCAATGCAGTCCTTTAACTCTGTCTATACATCTGAACTAATCAAGAAATTCTGTTTGCTTATATTCTGATTCTGCCAATCATTGGCATGTACAGATAAAAAAAGGCTATTTATTCAGAAATTATCTGTGCATATTTTGTCTTAAAGAGTTTCTTCTATTGTGTAATATACATAAAATACTAGGTTAAATACCAAATGAAAAATAACAACCATATGCATTTACTGTTTACATTCTGTTATTACAGCTCCTCAAAATTACAAATGTAACTGATTAATAATAAAAACAATAGATAAAAAAAATGAAAGCCTCTATTTGCCAGTCTTGCAGTGTTTTCAGATTATCCAAACACTCCCAAGGTTATCTGTGCAAGTTTTGTCTAACCTGAGACTAGATGAATTAATTTCTTGTTCCATAATTTGACTTGTATTTCAAGTATTTAGTTTCACCTAAATCTTTAAACTTTTTTGTATCATGCCTTGTGATATGCACTTCCTAGTTAATAATATCTGACCTTAGTCTTCTGGAATGTTCTGATGGTCTAATCAGGTATGGTCAACCAGTCACAATGCTACTCTCGTTTTGGAAGACTTTATGCATAAAATATTCACTGCAGTACTTACCAAAGGTTAGGAGGAAGCCATAGAGCATTGACAGAACAAAGGAATACCATCCTTTATGTTCTTGGTAGATGAGAGAATAAACACAGTAGCCTCCTAACAGAGGGAAGAGCACTACTGACAGATATCTGTAGGCCATTTCATCATAGGCCTTTGTATTGGAGTCCACGTATGTTCCCTTGTCTGTGAATTTCAGTGTAGGGATGCCCATAATCCGTTTCTCCCTATTAACAGACACATTTGTAACCTGCAAAATGAGAAAAATAAGTCAACAACAGATAACTACTAAATAATGTTAATACTAATTTTAACAAAAAATGACAATAAAGCTAACCTGCTAAAAGTTGAACCTCACTAGTCCTGCTTAGGACTAAGTAGAGAACAGGGTTGTTTTTATGAGGAAAAAAACATACATAAGCCATTGCTATTTTTTTTTTTCTATCAATAACCTAACTTGAGTGAAATCTTATAATAAAAAATCATAGTATCAGAAATAAAACCTAAAATAATTCTTTCTTCTTGTTTCTGTCATACCTAACAACTGAAAAGACTGTGGAGTCTCGTATTTAACAAACTCAGTGACACCTAAAATATCTACTTACCTTTGTGATCTTCCAGAGCTCAATGCCAAGCCCTACGAAGCACGAGACCTTGATAACAAAATTGGTCTCGTTGTCAAGCACATACAGGAGGACCACAACAGACTGGAACACGTTGAAGAACACAGAGCGAACTGACAAGCCTTCAAGACTCTGACGATTGTTCCAGAACTGAATATCTGTGGGGGGAAAAATTACAGAAATATTACAGAAGTCAAAGTGTGTTCATTCTTACAGGAGGAGCATTTATTTCACCAGTACTTATGGCTGATGCATACAAGAAATTCCGGCACATGTGATTAGTCATCATAAATAACATTTTGCTTGGGACAACAATTAGCATAATAAGCTTATCCATAGCAAATTCTACTGCAATATTGTATAATTTTCTTTCTTTTATTCACCTACTTTTTACACTGGTTTCAAATTCCTACCAAGACTTATAAACACATCACTGGTAGCAACACATACCATTCTTGAAGGCGAGGAACTCAAATACGGAGTGCAAGAGTGAAACGGCCATTGTGAGCGCCAGCAGGTATGGAGAGGTTTCCAAAAAGGCTTCCTTGATGGTATCTTGGTCTTCGTCATCCTCTTCCCCACCAAGGCCCTCCAACATAGCTGTGCCGGGCCATCTGAAATTCAAAAATGAAATCAATCTTCTGCTAAAACCATGTACAAGTAAAGAGGGTTTTATTAACATACATATCTATAAATGTACATGGGTCATAACATCCTATGTAAGTTCATGAGTTACCAATCCTGTTGAAATATAAGATAGAGTTAGAATACCTACATGATTATATAAGAGGCAATGATCATCATACTCTTTTACATATCTGCAATCAAAGCAATACATGAGCCATTGAGAATGGGAGAGACAAACCCGCCACCTTAACAAAAATGTGATTCTTGCACCCGTTTTCTGTGAAATCTGTTCCATCTTATGTCAAGAAAGGCTGCGTATATTTGCCTAATGCCTGAGAATTTAGGTCATAAATATAGAGTAAAACTCATGATACGGGTAAAATCAAATCTTCAAACCAGTTTACCTCGAAACTTGCTTTTGGTGAGTTCACTTCTCCCATTCTCAACACTCATATGAGAATGGAGAAATATATGGAATTCTGTGCAGATAAGTACATAGAAAAGAATGTAAGAATACAAGTAGGGAGTTAGACAGATGGAAAGGTAGGAAGGTGGGAAAAGAGGTATGGAGGTGAAAAGGTTGTAAGGTTGGGAGGGAAGTATGTAGGAAAGAATGCAAGAAAGTAAGAAGGGCAGATAGGCAGTTGGGAAGGTGTCCACCTCTGTGTCTGTGTTTGTGCATGTGTATCATGTGAGTGCCTGTGTGTGTGTTTACACCTCTGAGAGTACATGTGTGCGCCTCTAGGTGTATGTGTGTACACCTCAGAGTGTATGTGTGTGCCTCTGAGTAAGTGTCAAGTTGGTTATCAACTTGTTGGATGGGCAAATGCTGCAACAATGCATCATATTTTAAAATACAAACAAGCTCTATCAGTTATTAGTTGTTTTTCATCAAGGGCATGTTACAGCACTTGCTGAGTTAGCATGAACAGGGAGCATATCATGAGAGTTCAGTTGTTCAGGATTATAGGATTTTTTTCACAACTAAACATAACAAAAACTAAGAGAAATAAGTTGTCTGCATGCTAATAATAATGTTTTGTACAATCTACTCAGAGTTAGCTAACAAACTTGATTCACTCTACACCACCTACTTGTAAAGTTTTGAAGCCCATGAACTATCATGAATGAAAATGCATAAAGCTACTCCTAACTGCAAAGATGAAGCACAAGGTCTGGTTATATTTACACACCCTTTAGTTTTTGTTCAGATACTGCCAATTTTACTGTAAACTCTATTAAAATAACAAAAATAAAAATACAATTGCAATGCCTCTGACACTTTATCCAAGAGGTAGTAACAAGAGACCTAAAAGCACTGTAATATGTTAATGGTACTCAAGTCTTAGCAATTCTTTTTACAGAACTGTGCAGCTGGAATCATCTATTGTGACAAAGACTTCTTTCCAGCTTATGATTTCAGTCTAAATGTGCTGGCAGTACTTCCCAATTCTGCTTATAGTTACAGTTTGTGAGTACATAGAAATAATCTGAATACATGTACTTATAATATATCAAATTACAAGTACATGCACATGCGTGTGTTTGGCAGTTATCCTGCAGGAAGAAAAATGTTTCAGATAAAATTTCTTCTGCTCCCCTCCATATACCTTAAGGTCTCTCCATGCAGGTGGGCACAAACAGATGACATCATGGGTGGAAAAACTGCTCTGTAAACAACTAGTTCCCTTGTTTTTTCACCTGTGAAATGATCTTTACAGACGCCCACCTGATCATGCCTGCCTGAGTGGACAGACCTTTAAAATTCAAAACTGTGGAACTGCTGTGATGTCTTATGATAATGTACTGAATAGAGCTGATAATCATCACTTGTTTTCTGTCTGCTCAAAGCAAATGCTGCCAAAAGGCTTCAGATTCTTTCGACTGACATTTCTAATTTGTATGGCATACTGCAATGTTAAAGTCTGCATTACCCTCTAAGCTTTGTGTAACATTTTTTTTTTTGCTGGATAAATTATATCATACAAGAGTATTAGCAATATCAGTTTTAAACATATAATATTATGTTTGAGGGACTACAGCTCACCACAATTCAGTACCTGTTATCTTTGAGGCTTATACTTCTGATACATGTACACTCCATGTGCATTTTCAGTAAGTAAACAATATGCATCTTGTAGGCAGTAACAGCTGAATGTATAATTTGGGTTGTGCATACTATATTTATATACTCAGAGGACAGAGAAAACTGGGCCAATATTCCCACAGGATACCAGAAGATGGATCCAACGTTTTCAAGTGTCATTATGTAGTTTTCGATATTTGGCTACCAAAAATACTGTGTGTAAAACACACACACACACACACACACACACACACACACACACACACATACACACACACACACACATACACACACACATACACACACACACATACACACACACACATACACACACACACATACACACACACACACATACACACACACATAAATGCAATAAAAACACCCAAAAATACATATAAAAACACCCAAAAATACATATAAACACACACATATTCAAGGAGAGACACACACACACTCACAAAGACACATGCACACACATTTACGAGATGCACACATACACACACACACATTCACTAGGACACATGCAAACATTCAACAGATCTTTAAGGGACCTTGTAAATGTACTCATAGGTATACATGTATAAATGTGTGTATCTAAATGGATAGATAGATTGTGGATAGATAGATTGTGAGATACAAACATCTATATATACAGGCATATTCACATTTAAATTTCTATATACACTATAATACGTACATGTATGAATACATAAGCACTATGTATATGTACACATTTATATATATTATGTAGGTTTTCTTGTGATAAGCAAAAATATTCACTACTTTGTTCTATTCTAAAACTAATTATTCTTGGAAGCATATATTAATATACCAAAGAGCACAGTATTATACAGCAAGTGTATGGTCAGCAATAAACAGTCAAGCATCATCTTCATCTCCCTCATGGTCATCTAAGGTGAATTTCCTGCTGTGATCAAGTTATATTTCCCCTTTAATCATTCGGATAATTTTACTCAGAAATATGGCCAGATATTTCATGGAAAAACTATTCTGATTTCTTCACTTGGACATTAGACAATCCCATATGATTAACTTCACTTGCAGAACCCGATTACCGATATCAAAATCATTATAAATGATGCTCGTATGACAATTTCCGATTTCTCGTACAAAAGTAGCAGACACATTTGCCTTGGCACAGAGATCTCATTGACAAATAGAACTTAACCTACTTCCTTCTGATAACCTTCCTTCACTTTTAGTTAAAGACTAAATAAAATAAAATAAACCAAAAGGAAATAATCAAATCCCTCATACAGAAATGATCATACATCGTTCCGAAAAGCAAAGGAAAGAATACGCTGAAAGCAGAGGAATAAGAGCAAAGGCAGAATGAGAGAAGTAGCATTTTATTGAGACATTCTAACATTTCAGAGAAATAGCTTGTGCATATGACCCAATCACCAGATAACAGACGGCAAAGTCAAATACATACTACCAACAAAGCAAGCAACAGTAAGATAAAGCATGAAAATACCTGAAGAAAGACAAGATATCAATAAATATAAAGAAAAAAATAATATCTTAAAAACCAAATGTGGATTCTTCAAGAAATTCTATATGGCTATTCATACTGGCTTCCAGAGACTACTGCTAAGTCTTTAAGAAAAAAGAACAATAAAGAAAAAGGAAGAAAGAATAAGCACAGACATAAACATTCCCATCCATAAGCATGCCCATACACTTGCAGAAATAAAAGAGAGATGGAACAGAAAAGGTACATGAGACAAGAAGATAGACAAAGCAGGTACAAGTCATGACAAAATACATGAACAAAATAATATAACTAATTAGAATATTATACCTCTGTTGTTGTTTTTTTTTAATTATCATTATCATCATTCCCAGTGGTTATGTGAGAAATCTGAAAGTCCTTGTAGTACACCCTTTTATTAGACCATTTTAATTGATGAAAATCAAAAGATGGAGAAGGACAGTTCTGACTAAGTCTCCACTCACCATAGCCAATTACAGTAGACTAGATCTTCTAAAAGCAAACATCCATAAAAAAGCTTCTTCATCAGAGTAAAAGCTACAATGCAAAAATCATTAAAAAGTGCAAATGTGCAAAAATTACTAAAACATCCAATCACCTGACATATAAGAATGAACAGATACAAATATAAAAGGAAGCATACATCAAAACTGTATCTTAGAAATCAATCACCACTCCTTTAACTGAACTCTTATGGGGTTTCTCAAAGGAGGTGGTAAACCCCTAGTATTACTGCCATCATTTACCAAGCATAAGCTGAAGATGAAAAAAACAGCTCCACCCATGAAAATTGGTCACTTTTCTATCTTTTCCTTAACCCCTTGCCGCCGGGTGACGGCGATACGCGTGTAAACAAATCGCTTGAAAGGTGGCGTACGGCCAAACCAGCCGGCGGCGCGCCAAAGCGCGGCGAGCCAGTGATTCGGGCTGACGCCCCGTACTCCGGCGCTCAAAGTCGGCGCGCTGCCTTTGTTTGCCAGAGCGTAGAGTTTTATTTTCCTTTTGTACACCCGGCGTCATTGGGTTAAAATGTGGATTTCAATCATTACCAGTGTATTTCCCATTACCATTAGAAGGAAAAAGATAATACTGACTTTTAAGACCCATTCATCTTGGATCTCCAAAGTTCCATTCTTTGGAAAGAAGCTTAAAAAGTGAGATCTATACCTTAGAACACTCAGCAACAAACCATTCACACAAATTACAAAGAGCAAGAATTTCTTCCATCCCTCCTAGGCATTAAAAAAGAAGCGTACAAAACCTAACCAAACACACACGAAAAAGGCCACATGATGAACAAAACCAACTTCATGCCCCCCCCCCCCCCCCACACACACACACACATTTTCCTCACTCCTGAACTAGCTCGAAGGCCGGACACTCATCCTCAGCCAACCCTTCCCATTTTGCCTCGTCAAACAAATCCATTCCCACCTCCTCTTGCTCCTCCTGAAAACCTAAGTGGCACTCATACCTGCTCTTCATGGCTTGGGCTGCATAGAGCTGCCACTTGAACAGTGAGAGAGGCTGGAAAGTGATGGTCAGGTCCAGGATCTCCGTGGTGGTGTTGATGGGCCGGTAATCTCTCACCAGGTTCCAGTAGGTGTTCAGGAATGTGATAGGTTTATATCTGGAACAAATGACATACAGTAGCTGTGACAAACAGGAAAATACAAAGAAAATCTTGTAATAAACTACCCAATGAGCCATATCACAGGTTCCAGAAAACCCCAAGCATAACTATACAAATTTATGCCGACATAAGAAAACCTATTCATATCACACATTACCTACATAAGTAAACTTTAACTACTTCAAGTAATGATCATACTAAATATACTTATTTTTATACCCTTATTCACCACAAACCAATACAGCAACATATTTAATTACTATTTTTTTTTTATGAAACATGCAAACTTATTGGGAGATCTCTACAAAAGAAACATTAGAATAGTGAAAGGCTACAATTCTTATAATTTGGAAATAAGAATTAAAAAAAAAAAATAAAAGGTTCAAAAAGCCTAGGAATATCTCAAATCAATATTTTGAATTACCATGTATCAAATAACACAAGATCTTAATAGGTTTCAAATCTGTCTTCTTGGTTGGAAAGGCTGTAAAATTGCACATAAAACATATTAAGATCAATTAACTTCTGTAATCTATCTCAACACTGAAAGTATCACTCACTTTTGTATCATTACAAGGCTAAATAAAACTTCTTTACATACAAATTACACCATAGTTATCTATGGTATAATTCGGTGTAGTTTAAATTAAGCATACAAAAAAGGCATTACATACCTATCTGCAGCAGGTGTGAACTGTACATATTCATCGAGAGGAGGGGGTACAGCACCTTGGGTCCATTGTGTGAAGTCGTGCACAATATTGACAGTTATATTTGGATGCCAGTGTGAAATAACTTCTTCTTTCATGGTCTCAGCTTTCTGCAGATAATAAAGAAAGATGAAATTGCTTCATTTCATACTGAATGATCATGGTTATAGCTCATGTACAATACCATGGGAAACAACTCGCTTAAAGAAGTTAAAATCTTTACCCGGTAACAAATGTTCCATATATATGATGTTGCTTTTTGTTTTGTTTTTCATAATAAACACCTACTATTCTTTACATGGAAACCTATTGAAATTTTACAACATTCTGAAGAGAGAAGTAAACTAAAAGCAAACCTTATAGTTTATTCTCATCCAATGACTGACTGCGACACACACTGCCAAGGCCACAGTCACTGTTTTTATACAGTAGTAATTTTTGGGAAAGTACAGTAGAGAAGCATGTCCACCAAGATGTAATCAAAGAATAAATCTACTTCTATGATGTCAACAAATAACTAAGTTATATATATAAAAAATTGTCAATTAAACTTTTATCACAAGTGCTTTATATAAGGCTGAGTGTGACCAAAATGAACTGAAACTGCTTGGCTGAAACTAATCCTCTCATTTCCCACATCATGCACAAATGTCAAAAAAATATAATCGACATTCAAGTCATTATTTTCAACATCAGCACTATATTTTCTTAAAAAAAAAAAAAAAGACTCTTCAGCGAAATATGGAGAGTAAAAGAATAAATACACAAATACAATAGATAACAGATACCGTTATCATCATAACAAGCAACAAATGACTCCACTAAAATGACTTCTTTAGCAAGGGACTCCCAGGAATAAATTTGAAACAGAAATGTGAGCCTCAGCATTAACTTACCATAATCTCCTCCTCTGACAATTCAGTTTCTCCGGTGATCAAGTTACTAGTTTTCCTGTATCGGCGACGCTTATATTTGTTAAGTCTTTGCGAATTGTAGGTTGTGTATTTCCTATTGTAAAGGCCTTCTCCGGCTTCTGGGTTCGGAGAAAAGCCACTTTTTACAAAATATACGTGGACGAATAAGGAGCCGTTGTTTCGTATATTCTGGAAAAAACAAAAACAAAAATTATAATAGCAATTAAGTACACAATTGTCCACACTATCTTGTGATGAATAATATACATACAAAAAAAAAAAAAAAAAAAAAAAAAAAAAAATCTGATCACAAATAAAGCAGTTACCATAATCCTGTAAAACAATATAAAGTAAAGTTCAGAGACTCAATTATTACTAATGGGAATAATTAGTAATTTCATTTATGACAACTATATGTATATATATTTATATATATATACATATGCATAACATATGCATATACATATGCAATACATATGCATATACATATGCATATACCTATGCATATACATATGAATATACATATGCATATACATTGCATATACATATGCAATATACATATGCATATGCATATGCATATACATTGCATATACATATGCATAGACATATGCATATACATCTGCATATACATATGCATATACTATGCATATACATATGCATATACCATATGCATATACATATGCATAGACATATGCATATACAGATGCATATACATATGCCTATACATATGCATATCATATGCATATACATTGCATATACATATGCATCTACATATGCATATACAGATGCATATACATATGGCATATACATATGCATATACATAGGCATATACATATGCATAGACATATGCATATACATATGGCATATACATATGCAATATACATATGCATATACATAGGCATATACATATGCATAGACATATGCATATACATATACATATACATATACATATACATATACATATGCATATGCATATGCATATGCATATGCATATGCATATGCATATGCATATGCATATGCATATGCATATGCATATACATATGCCATATACATATGCATAGACATATGCATATACAATGCATATACATATGCATTATACATATGCATATACCTATGCATATACATATGGCATATACATATGCATTATACATATGCATATAATATGCATATACATATGCCTATACATATGCATATACATATGCCTATACATATGCATATGCATATACATAGGCATATACATATGCAGATACATATGCATATAATATGCATATACATAGCATATACATATGCATATACCATATGCATATACATTATGCATATACATATGCATCTACATATGCATATACAATATGCATATACATATGGCATATACATATGCATCTACATATGCATATACATATTGCATATACATATGCAGATACATATGCATATAATATGCATATACATATCATATACATATGCATCTACATATGCATATACATAATGCATATACATATGGCATATACATATGCATATGCATATGCATATGCATATACATTGCATATACATATGCAGATACATATGCATATACCTATGCATATACATATGGCATATACATATGCAGATACATATGCATATACATATGAATATACATATGCATAGACATATGCATATACAATGCATATACATATGCCTATACATATGCATATACCTATGCATATACATATACATATGCATCTACATATGCATATACCATATGCATATACATCTGCATATACATATGCCTATACATATGCATATAATATGCATATACATATGAATATACATATGCATATAATATGCATATACATATGCAATATACATATGCATAACATATGCATATACAATGCATATACATATGAATATACATATGCATAGACATATGCATATACAGATGCATATACATATGGCATATACATATGCATATACAGATGCATATACATATGGCATATACATATGCATAGACATATGCATATACATATGCATATACCTATGCATATACATATGGCATATACATATGCATATACCTATGCATATACATATGGCATATACATATGCATATGCATATGCATATGCATATGCATATACATCTGCATATACATATGCCATATACATATGCATCTACATATGCATATACCATATGCATATACATCTGCATATACATATGCATCTACATATGCATATACCTATGCATATACATATGCATTACATATGCATATACATATGCATATACATAGCATAGACATATGCAGTATACATATGCATATACCATATGGGCATATACATATGCCTATACATATGCATATACATATGCATATACATATGCATATACATATGCATATACATATGCATCATACAGTATGCATATACATATGCATATACATATGCATATGTATATGCATATATGCATATGCATATGCATATGCATAGACATAGGCATCTAGCATATGCATATGCATATACATATGCATATACATATGCATATAATAGCATATGCATATACTATGGCTAAATATGCATATACACTATGCATATACATATGGCATAATACATATCATATACATATGCATATACATATGCATATACATATGCATATACATATGCATATACATATGCAGTATTACAATGATATAAGATGCATATACATATGCATATACATATGCATATACATATGCATATACATATGCATATGCATATGCATATAGATATACATATGCATATACATATGCATATACATATGCATATACATATGCATATACATATGCATATACATATGCATATACATATGCATATACATATGCATATACATATGCATATACATATGCATATACATATGCATATACATATGCATATACATATGCATATACATATGCATATACATATGCATATGTATATGCATATGCATATGCATATGCATATGCATATACATATGCATATGCATATGCATATACATATGCATATACATATGCATATACATATGCATATGCATATACATATGCATATACATATGCATATACATATGCATATACATATGCATATACATATGCATATACATATGCATATACATATGCATATACATATGCATATACATATGCATATACATATGCATATACATATGCATATACATACATATGCATATACATATGCATATACATATGCATATACATATGCATATACATATGCATATACATATGCATATACATATGCATATACATATGCATATACATATGCATATACATATGCATATACATATGCATATACATATGCATATACATATGCATATGCATATACATATACATATACATATACATATACATATACATATACATATACATATACATATACATATACATATACATATGTATATGTATATGTATATGTATATATATATATATACATATGCAAACACACACACATATATATATATATATACATATGCAAACACACACACTCACAAACAATACTTATATGTATATATATCATGGAAAAATTATATCTAATCCATATGTCAATACTTGGTAAGAACAAGCATATCACTAGTTTGTTTTAAATTCACTGACATCTAATTTGTAATCATATGCTGATCTAATTTCTGTTGCAGATTAATCAAAACATTAAGTATGGCACTATCAAACAATACAAAAAAATAGCCCTAGTTTAGATTATCAACACACACACACACACACACACAAAAAAAAAATAAAAAAAAATAAAAAAAAAATAAAAATAATAATAAATAAATAAATCTGGGAACACAAGCCAAATTCTCATTTTGGTCAGTGACACACAGCTGACAGGCCATTTAACTCTTGACATCTTGTTCTCTCTTGACATAATTATCAATCACAGTTCTGCCTCATCAAACAGACTGTAAAAACCTTGCTGCAATGGAAATCACTAATCTGGAGGCAAACACTCAATAATGGGATAAGTGAATGAATGAATGAATGAATGAATAAATAAATAAATAAATAAAGTAGCATGGGAAAAATCCAATCCAACCTTTCCATTCAACACTCAGACTCTTAATCCATTGGTGCCAAGTATAAACAAAGTCCGCTGTACTTTTTTGCTGCGCCAATTCTGTTTGTGCATAGATAACTTCCCAAGCACCATGGATTCAATTACTAAGCCTTCCTGACTTCACCTGTTTATCCCAATTCTTTCCAACCTCTTGAAATTTCTAAGCTAAGGTGTACTTAAAAATGAGGCCACTACCATGAACTATAATCCTTCAGAAACAAACGCACCGCACCGCAAGTTCTTAGCCAGGATTCGATTAGTAGGCCTATGAATGACCTTACCTATTTCCCTATTCCTTGGCTTTCCATGAAAAATATTTTCTATAATCCTACTATTATTGATAGGAATTATTAATGATATTCTAATTGGGGATCTTATAATTATAAAGGTATTACCAATGTGATTTGCAATAAATAATATAAAAAGTATATATCTGAAAATCAAGGAAAATAGTAAACAGCCAAGATAGATAGAACTCGTGATTGATTCATCTAAAACTCAATACAAACAATGCCTTTTCTGCAGCCTAGCTAACAATAAATAAATAAATAAATCCTTCACTATCCACACCATTCATAAGGCAAGAAACTAACTTGCTCCCACAAAAATAACTTTTCCTCTGAAAACCCACCTACAACTTGCAAGGGAAGATATAAAAACCATAGAGCATAATCTCTACAATCAAAAATTAAAGAAAAAATAACCATACTGGTGATAATCACTCTGATGATAATTAATGTAAAAGTTTACAGCATGACCCCAACACAAACTAAGGAAACAGGAACCCCAATTCGCAACTACCACAACGACTTCTATATGAACCAATACCTTATCCTAAGGGTGTTGCCCCTGGACACATTACCTAAAGCCATATTTCCCTGACTGGTGTATACTTTACCCTTGTAAGCTTCATAAGTGACTTCAAATAATTTGGTCACATTGTTTAAGTAATCATTATAGGCATATTATGTGAGCACATTCAGTCTTTTGATTATCATGCAGTTGATTACATCATACAGAATGAGAATATATTATTTTCTTTAAAATATAGCTTGCCTTGATCTTCTATACTATAATCAATTTGAAAAAAAGAAAAGAATAACTGTGCAATCAGTTATAGACCTCCCTTGTGATTATAGTATACATTCTCTCTTCCCAGAATCTATATCAGAGTTGGGTAATGCTACCAAGAGTGATGCACAGAGATAGAGGGAAATGGACATTGACATCTTATAGAGCATAAAGAAAAACAAAAAAACAGGACTGTTGCTCTGGCCTTTATTTACTGCAAAATGGCAGAAATATCCAAAACACCCTAATAGTGCTAATAAAGAGGGGGTACAGGAGGGGCTTCCCCCACAGTCTAGGGAGTAAATAGAAGGTAGGAAAGGTTAGGTTTGCATTTTTGATTTCGCAGGATATCCTGGATTTGGGACTTCAGAGAGTGCATCATTCATAGTAACAAATACCTCAGTGCTTTTACTGAAGCTCTAAAGGCACACAGCCTTTATTGCTTGATGAGGTCTTCTTGGTAACAATTTCCAGACAAGATACATCAACGAGAGCAGAACCACATCAAATGTTACTATGGCCTCTGAACTTTCCGTTCCAACCAAAGGCCAACAATTCACCACCACTTATATTATGGCAGAAAAGAGTTTGGACTAAATCTTTATTCACTGACAAACAACTAAGGGACTAAAAGCTTTATCTCAAATAACAAATATATATGATGGAGGTATGATGACCACTCCCAAAGCCCAATATGCAGGGCCTACAAAATCGGTTGTGTGCTAAACTGAAGCCACGACATCACTTGTGCTGATCCTTAAAAAGCATTTGTTAAGAAACTTCTACTTTATGTAGACTATTTCTACAGTTAATGAGGGTATTTTTTATGTATTCTTAACAACCTCAGCCTTTTTTTTCTATTCCTGCATTATCCTATTCTTGAAAATTGTCCCAAACACTCTTCTACTATCATTGAACCCAACA